AATACTTCACTAACTATTTGGCAGATGAGATGAGTTAATAAAGAGATTATTAAAGAAAAATAGCGAGACATGTGATGAGAACCGCCAATAAAACCACAATTATTACAATATATATACATTTCTATAAAAAAAAGTCGGAAACAAAATTTTAAAAAGTCATGCAATTGTATTAATTAGATAATAATCTAGTCGTAAATTCGGGTCCAATCAGTAATATGTAAAAATAAATATTATGGATTTTAACTAACAATAATTATTTAAAAATATCAAACTAATATTAAATGTAATCCAATCTTATGACAGAAATAGAAATTTCAGTTTTCATTTCATATCTAATTGTGGCGATAATTGTAGGAGAATTCCCTCAAAAGAGAAAACATGATTATGACATACTTTTCTGGACTTTGCCTTATGTTTGCGTGCGATTCCCAACTCAACTCTCCCGTCGTCGACATATGCCTTCGATGTGATCACTTGTGTCTCAATTCGGTTGATTGTCTCTCCCTTTAAACACATTTAAGTTTTATAATATTTTACATTTATTACAGTTATAAACGAGATTAAAATCAAGTTATAACTGATTAGCAAATTTACCTGATTCTCAATAAGAATTGTCATATCAATGAACATATCGTGCATTTCCCGGATACTATTCTCGAGTTTAATAATGTCGGCGTGTCGGGCCTGGATGTCGGCCAGTGATTGTTTGGCCTGTTGTGTGTCTGTAATTATCTATTAGTAATAAAACATAATTATATCAATAATTTGTGGTCAAATCAATAGTGAGAAGACGTACTCCTTGTGTAAAAACGGCAGGATTGCCGCTCTCTAGCATTTCCTCTACCTCTTCATTATTTGTCTGACGACCAGCTGTTCAGAGAAAACAGAAGCAAAATATAAGACACAAGTAATCGCCACATAATTCACTCACTGATTAAAAGCTGTCGAGTGATGCGATCTTTGCATTTCTCCCGATACTCGAGTTGAATGCGATTGTATTCATTCATAACATCAATAAACTTCTGCAAAAGCATTGAGTGCTGTATTTTCCT